GTGATGACGTCCATCGTGAGCAGGAAGAGGAACGGGCTCAGAGCTGATTCCTGGTGGACCCCAACGGTGACATCTACTGCTCCGGTTTGGCCGTGTGGAGTGCGTATTGTTGTCGTGGAACCATCGTACATGTCCTTGACCAGAGAGATCATGTGTTCTGGAACGTTCCGTTTTTGGGGCGCTCTTCAAAGGACTTGCCGGAGGAGGGACGGTCGAATGCCTTCTCCAGATCGAGAAAGGCGAGATAGCAGGGCCTACGCTTTCTCTACACTTCTCCAAAGTTGTCTGGCTATAAAGATATTTTCTGTAGACCTTTCAGGCATGAAGCCGAACTGCTGTGAGAACGGGACCAATTCTCTCAATCTTGAGTCGAGCAGCCGCCCGTACAGTTTCATCGTATGAGCGGTCAGCCTGACCCCCTGGTAGTTGGAACACTCCATCGCGTCTCCCTTCCGCTTGTAGACGGGGACGGTAGTACTGCTCCTCCACGCTTCTAGTCTAGCTGTTACCTCTAACTAAGGGCTCTCCTTACGGGCGGATACTTTGTTTAGGAGCTTATCGAAGTATTTCTTCCACCTACGCCTGACCAGGCTTCCTTAGGATGACACACTAGCTGTTCCTAACGGACTTCACTACCCCGGTGTCTTGAGTAGCCCGGTGACGCGCTTTCGCCAGCCGGAAGACGAACTTTTCTCTTTCTCGTCCCTGAAGTCTCTCATACAAGGCATCCATTTCCATGAGCTTTGCCTTCGCTACAGCAACCTTGCCCACCCTCTTGGAAGTTCTATAGGCAGCTAGGTCTTCTGGAGCTCGCGTCTTCTCCCAGCGCTTGTAGGCCAATTTCTTCTGCCTCACAACTCGCTGAATTTCATCGATCCATAACCATGCTTTGTTGTCGCCTCGGAATCCACCCCGAGTTTTTCCCAGCGTTTCCCCTGCACATCGTAAAATGACCTTCACGGCGTTGCTCCAGGTCTGCTGGATCGGTCCTTCGGGATCTGGAAGTCGAAAGAGAAGTTGAACCGAGTCGAAAGAGAGCACCTCAAAGAAAGATACTGGAAACTGGACTTCCAGTATCTTTTCTTCGAGGTGCTCTCTTTCGACTCGGTTCAACTTCCACCATCGGATCCTCAGCCCGTTCTTGCCTTTAATTTCTTGGAAAGATCGATAGCTATGTCTGCTAGGAAAGGCCTGTGCTGTGGAGTCAGGTCTTCGCCAGGCAGTACTTTTATGTCCGCAGTTTCGAGGGCTGACCTTCTTACGAGTGCGTGGTCTATTTCTGCTTCTTTCCCTCCACTGCTGTAGGTAATCTTCTGGGCTTTCCTCTTTGCAAAGAAGGTGCTGCATACCGCAAAGTCGTGGGCTGTGGCCAAATCGAGAATCCTTTCTCCTTTTTCGTTCCTGAGACCTACTCCTTGCCCCTCCTCCCTGTGAATCCTCTCATAGCTCCTTCGTTCAATTCCAACGTTGCCGTCCAAATCTTCCGCTAGTGTGAGGTAGTCCTTCGGGAACTGACCGGATGGCTTCGTCAAGGCTCAGATAGAACTCATCCTTTTCGACGACAGGGCAGCCGACCTGTGGGCATACGCGGTTATTATTGTCCAGTACCCCTCCTTTGTGCCTATATTCACAACCATGATTCGACTGCTGATCCTGTTGACGGCGAAGACAGAGTCTTTCAGGGACTCTGCCACAGCTATGGCCACGCCATTTCGTCAAATCCGTTGTAGAAGAGCTTGACACCCTCTCCGATTTCTCTGGTCTCCGATCCTTTCCAGCTGGTCACCTAAAGACATAGGACTTTAATGTTTCTGCGCTTCATCAGGTCAGCGATCACTCGGGGCCTCCCAGAAAGTGATCTCATGTTCAAAGTTCCAATTCGAACTTACTTCTTTGGTGGAGGCCGTTCACTCCTCGGTAGCCCTCGCATACTGTCTACAGGACGCGGACGAGGGTCCTGGGCGGCACTTCCGAATGACGTCCTAGCTTTATCACTGCTTTCCTTTGAGGCTTTAGACATTATTGTTGTGACTGGGTTTCTCCATCAGCCGGCCTGTCAACCTGGGCCTGATGCTGGTACGGATACCATTTTTGCAAAATTTGCAAGACATGGATTTGTCTTGGCAGGGATCGAACTCGCATTCCTTCTGAGAGAGAGAGACGTGAGCCTACACTCTTATCCCCTCGGCTACCCTGCCTCGGGTTGGATAGGGCACTAGGAAAATCATATGCTGTAAAAATTGTCGTTTGTCAGCAGAATGTGGACCAGAATAGACGTCTAAAGTCTCCTTCCGTCTCCTACTAGAAAAGACTACGCGTGATTCTCCTGGATTCGTTTTCATTTCCATAACTTTCTCTCGTGCCATGTCAAGAAAATGGTCAGTGGAGAAGTGTTTGTTAAGCCTAGTAACCGCCAATTTTGCTTTTTTAAGTCAGAGAAACTCGCACAGAAACACCGCCTCTGCTGTTCCTTTCGAATGAGCTGGTAGAAGACGGACCATTTTGCCCTCAGTGAGGCCCATGATATTTCCTATTTCATTAAATTTTTCTAAGAAATGCGTGAGACCTGCACCTCCCTCATCCCCTGCAAATGTTGGTAGCTTGTTTGCATAAGAAGTTAGACAGAGTTTATCGGAAGCAGTATAAAGTCTTTCAACGATGTTATTTTCAACTACATCCATGTCTTCGCAATGGAGAATTGTGTTATTATCGATGAAGTGTACTAATCGAGGAAGAGGGGTGGAGAGTGGGTCAGTCAGAGATGGATGGTCAGAAATTGATATTATGTTAGCGGTTGATCCTGAAGAGGTGGTTCCGAATGAGGTTGTGTTGGGATGTTATTATTTATGAAAACTTGTCGTTTATCACTTAAATTTACTTGTGTATAATTTCTGTGAGCAACAGTAGAACGGATAAACGTTGGACTGATTTGTATGTTGATTTAACGGCTTCCTGGATCTTCGGTAGCTACGATTGGTTGAAAATCAGCAGAGTTCTACACCTTGGGAAAGTTCGTTGGTTATATGCTTTGTACCGTCGGGTCTGATGGAAAGGTAACGTGAAGGATTGTAGAGATTCTTCTGAAGAACTAGACTCTGGAAAGGGTACACAAAGGCTCGGGTCTGGTAGTTCAGATTGCGAACGCAAAGAATGAGTGGTTACTGAGGTGTACCTGACCGAAGAGGGGTAGATGAGCTAACTTGTTCCTCTGGTTGACTTTTGGTTCTCTTTCTACGAAGCCTATGGGGTAAGCAAAATTAGGTTTTACGCTTTAGGTTTCACGCTTAATAGAATACCTATTATCCGCACGTCGGTGAAGAGGGGTTTTTGTTTGCGCTATTGAGTAATTCGAATTCAAATTACTCATAGAATAGGAAATGAACTAGAATGTAAGTGATAGATGTTGTAGGAATACTTGCTGTGAAAAACAAGAATTCCCTTCGGGTTGGGATGGAGAGAGTTTGTTATATAAACAGTAGACTGAAGAACTCACGACTGCCAGTGAGGTTGTGCGTCGGTTGAACCGCTGGTAGAGTTGGATGCTGCTGGCTAGACTTGAAGTCGGCCGTCTTCGAAGAAGAGGAGGAGTGTGGGTTGGTCCGGATTCATGATGGTTCATGTAGTAGCGGATATCATGGAGAAAATACCCGTTATGGTGTAACATGACGTTTTGTTTCTAATTATAGTGCGAGTTTCGTACTTGTTGCTTGTTTCGAAAGTCCTCGTACCCATTGTCTTACGAGATGGGTTACGGTGGGCGTACACGCAGCTGTCGTTGGTGAGTGAATTGGCTGTCGATTTCGTAACGATAATGTGTTGTGAATGAAAAATATACGATGTATGTTGCGAAAAAAATGAGCGCTTGATTATGGGTGTATAGATTGTACTATTATACGTAAGGAAGGAAGGATGATGATGATAAATCTACATTACACTTGTAGAGGCTGTCGTGTTAGTCCGTTGCAAGGGACGTGTATTAATTGGGAACCGGACATACGAAAGCAAGTGTCATTTGTAAATTCGAATTACTTTCGAGCGGTTGTTCCCTATGCTTTATGTGCCGTGAAATGAAGGTATTGATGCGTGTTATGGCGACAATTATTCTTACTTCGGAAGTTGCAAGGACCATGAGCGATTGTAATGGAATAGGAGCAGAGGCGGATACAATATAAATCGGATACTCAATAAAAGATTTGCAAGCTTAATATGTTGTGTCGATCTATGTTGCCAGAGTGGATGTGGTAAAGTGATTTATCGGGAACCAGCCGATGATATGTCACAATTTGTGCAACCAGTGAGGTGAGTGAATATTTGTTCTAGGATGGTGTTCCTTGTGGATACTTGTGCAGTTACCGTATGCTGGATATCTATTTGATGTTAGGTGCGCACATAATCATTAGGTTTCCAGCGAGTGAGTGTCAATTACTAACTGTTGTAACTGTTGCCGGTTGATCCTTGCCGACAATACCTGAGTGATCGACAGGATACTGATCGTGTCTTTGGTAATCTGCAAGGACCATGAGCATGACCATGGATACTAAGTGTGAGTGATGAGGAGGGTCGCTGATTTGTGGATTCTCGGCTTGATGTGATCTGTGAACAGCCGGTCGGCTGTCGTTAGACTCTACACCATGTGAATTATGAGATGAGCAGTGCAACCAACGTTTATGATGTTATTGTCAGTTGATTATTCTATTATATCTCATGAACAACAGAAAAATTTTCTCGAGAGAGAGAGAGTGAGAGACGTCTCTATGGCGCCTGGGTCCCTTATGTAACAATAAGAGATATGAATTGAATGGCCCATTGAAAGTAATTTGAAGTCCTGAGTGGGATAAATATCCGTAGGCTTGGCAAGAAGGCGCTCTGCATGAGACTGTAATAAAAAAAGCCCCGAGTTTTTGGGATCCAAGAGGTTAACTAATTGTGCCACCCGATTGTGACAGGTTAACCACAATTTAAGGAGGAAAACAATTTTCCTAGTAGTATTAGGTTGATGCATAATTATTGCAGACTTTTTCAGCAAATTTTACTTGAAGGAACGATAGGTGTTTCTAGCAAAGACATGTTAAAATAATAGCTCCGGAACATATCTACCATCTACGTCAAGCGCTGCTTCCCATTTGCTAGGAGGTCGGATTCCACAGGCGAAGAAGTTTCGATTCTTGGAGGCGATCACGCCTCGATGTTGGCCATCAAGCCATCCACTTCGTCGGAAGTTCTGTTCGTTAATCAATTTCTCAAGGGCGATTGACGTGATAATCCATAGTAGTATCTGTTGGTGAATAGGGCGACCGCGGAAGCAGATTCCATTCCTTGTTCGGCTTTGGCTGACTGTTCCATCGCCGAGAAGTTCGTTGAGATCACGTTATGAGTGGGCCGCCTTTCAACATTTCTTGAAGTAATAGAGCATAATTTGGCGTATATGAAGGTGACTTTCTAGACATATTTCTATTAAGGAAAGCGAGTAGATTAATTCTACAAAAATTCCGAATATAAAAGTTAAATTTTATCGAGAGAAAAGAAGCCGCGAAAAAATCCGCAGTAATTATGCATCAACCTAATAATTATGGGGTCAGATGCATGTGATAGGCCGTTCTGAGCAAAAGGGGATTCGTCGCTAGGACCGAAATTCACTAATCTTTTTTCAAGAAGTGAACAAGTGCTTGTTAACCCCTAGCAAACCCGACTGTTTACTTCCAGATAGTGTACGCGTCGCACACTTCTAGATTGTATACGCAACTATATACTTGTGTACGCGACCGTATACCTTATCATATTGCTTTCCATATAGCAGGAAAAAGTAGATGGCTCGAAGATGTTAACCTTATCATATTATTCCCCATATAGTAGGAAAAAGTAGATGGCTCGAAGATGTTATTTTGAAAAGCTTGTTTTTCTACTACTGGGTTCAGTATGATAAAACTCACTGTACTTCGTCGTTATTTCGTCCATGTCCATGTTGTCTTAAATTCTCCAGGATCTCGACGAAACCTGCAGTGAGTCGAGCGAATAGGCATGTAAAAACAAGGAAGGGGGTAAAGGGGGGGGGGCGGGGGTGGTTTGATTGAAAAACTAGCTATAACTATGAAGGTTTTAGTTGGCCCTTCCTCGGAACAGAAAAAATCATCCCC